TTGACTTTATTCGTCAGCAATTTGAGTGGCAAATTATTGCTTATGGCCTAACGCCCCCTGCCCACTTCCAGCTGCCCCTCCTCCTGAAACTGACTGCATAATGTGGGCTATGGTCGTAACGTTGGGAACTTAATACTCACATAGGTGGACAGTGCGATGTAACTATTTTAGGGCGACAATTAACCCCTTTTGGGCCAACACTCACACACCCATGCACACACATGGACTGGCTAACACCATATAATTAATAGTCTGCATAATCAGGCAAAGTGAAATAAAAACGCCTATTAATTATAGTTTTGTCAGCATATACTACGTGGAGGGCAAGCTTCCCAAACACACCAAAAAAATTATAGTTCCCTGCGGAGCAAAATGACTTCATTGCACACATATATACATGGGTATAGTAGTATATATACCTATGTGTGTGTTTGTGTTTGTGTTTTGTTTGCTTGTGCTGCCATTGAAATTAATTCAATGCGCTTAAATTTCACGTCTATTAGTCTCTCGAGTGCGACGCCACTTTCTAATTTCCATAGATTCAATTTTTTTCTCTTTTGTGCGCTGGTGTTTGCCACGCCCAGCCGCCCACTTTTTGGCATGTTTCTGGCGCCCGCTGTTGCTGTCGCTGCTGCTGCTGCTGCTGTTGCTGCTGTTGCTGTGTTTGGCGTGCCAAGCAATTAATTTTGAATTTTAATACTCCCCAAAGTCACTGAACGCACACACATCCACACACACACACACATACATACAGCTGGCTAATTGTGGCACAGCAAATGCAAGCCCTTTTATAAGTTGGCTCATTGCCTGCTTGATGAAAAGCGTGTGAGGCAGTGTGTCAGAATTTGCTGGAGAAAACTGAAATGCGAATCCGTTGCAAATCGAGACGAGGCCTGCGACCTTCGGTTCAAGTTTTTGTGTGACATAAGGCAACAACAACAACATGAACATGAACACACACACACATACACACACACACAACTTGCCACCGGAAACGGAAACATCGCGAAAATGTCAAAAGCACAACTGAAAAGCAGGTGGGGGCGTGGCGGGCTGCAGGGCAGAGGGCACAGAAAAACCATTAGGGACAAAAGCAGTTACTAGGTCACAGGCCCAAACAGCAGGACCAGAGCTATAAAAACAAACACAAATAAAAAGTGTCTGACTAAGAGATACTACGTAGGTGGCTTCAAATAGACAAGACTTGAAAGAAATATTATATAAAGGCGAGTGAGATGATTGGGCAATGGCAACGGAGCAGACAAATCTTCAGCCTAAAGAATGAAGTGAAGATTGAGCAGGAAGATGAAGCATCTTCTCTCTGGTCATCTCCAAGCATCTTCTGCTTGCAGCTCTCTCAGCTCAGCATTCCATTATAGATAGTATTTTCGAAGCACCTCCCAATTTCTACACTGTAGTATCAATTCCCATCAACAGCTACAGGGTATTTCAAATGTCAACTGACAGCCATTACAAACATCTAGCGGCAAGTTGTGTAAACACTCTTTAAAGTGTGACCCACTAAGACAAAGCAAACGCAAATTTCATCAACAATAAACGTTAAGCATTCAAATGGGCAAACAACAACAACAACGGCAAGAACCAAAGGCATTCAGTTCGCCGTCTTGGCCAGCATTTTGTGGTGAAGTGTACTGAAATGAAGTTCACGTATCGTGCGCAGCAGCAGCCGCTCGAGACAATGAAAAGCCAGTAATTTATTGTGTGGCAGTGCTAATTGCAAAAATAAAACATGATTTATGGCCAGGACGATAAAATGGCCCAAGCTACGCAGCGCGAGGGCATCCCGCCCAGAAAACGTGGCAGCTGGGCGATAGGCTCAACATGTCCTAAAGACCATACACTCTTGGTCTTGGGTCTCTCTCTCTCTCCCTCTCTTTCTCTTTCTGTGCGTGTGTGTGTGTTTGTGTCAAGAATTAAGCTGTAACGCATGATGCGCGAGCAGAGGCGCAGGCAGAGGGTTTTAGTAGGAATTAAAATGTCAGCCTGACAAGTTTATATTAGGAAACATACAAAAGTAGATCTACAAATAGAAGTAAATAATAGCATAATTATATACGTATATACTATTTTATATCCAGCACCTTAAGTAAGCCGGCTATCAATTGAAAGACTTTGTTTCAGCTTCTTTCATTTACAATTGATTCTGGATACAATTCTTAAATCTCTCTGCTAAGCCCGAAGTGAAGTTCACGTAGAATTTAAAAAGGAATTGAAAACTAAACTTGACAACTTAAAGAAAAGAATAATATTAGAAAATATAAGAAAATCTCTATAAAATATACCAGAAAATAATAATATACGTACATAGTAAAAATCAAAATAAAATGTAATAATTCAGAATATAGACTAATTTACTTTTGATAACAAAGTATAAGTCAATTTCCTCTATAGCTCCTCCTCTTAGTCCAGCTAAGCTTTTTACCCTTTCTCAACAACTCCTGGCACATTTCTTCTCATATCTCTCATCTCTAATAGGCTCCTTTTATCTACGCCCCTGCACACATGAGGCCGACTAGGCTCACAGCGGTTCGTGGCCAAGCAAACAATGTTCAGAGTTCAGCTGCTTCGTGCAAAACATTAAGATGTTCATTTGATGAGCTGAGCTGCTGGCCAATTATGTTTCGATAATTGCGAGGCGAGGCAGCGGCTTTTTAAATGTGTTGACAGCGCCGACAGGGCAGATGACGATTATCATAATGATGATGATAATGCCGATAATGATGATTGGGCTGATGAGCATGTTAAGCAGGCAAGGCCAGGCAATGGCTTGGAAGCAAATCAATCAGCCGCACACACAAAGCTCACGCCGAACAAGTTGTTCTCCACGTCGCAGCAACAGCAATGTGATTGAGATAGAGCTCGTCTTCTTCTTCATTTACTACTACTACTACTCTTACTAGTATTTGATACTTCTTATTCTTCTTCTTCTTCAGCTTCAGCAGCTTTGCTGACACAGCCAACGGGCCAGGCAAAAGCAAAGCTCATCATTATGGCTCATTAGCAAAGCAATTTTTGTGTGTTACTCGCATTTTTGTTTCAGCTCCTGCCCATGTCCTGGCAGTTCCTTGGCGCAGTTGGCGAGTGTTGGTTATATTGAATGCTGCTAATTTGCACATAAGCCGCTTGGGTCCCTCGTGCATAATGCGAAATCTCTTGCCAACAGGACTTTGCCAGGGCACTAACTAAGCCCCTCTAAGCATCCAGGCGCAGCGGCAACGAGTCGGCATCTAATCCAACTGCTTATTACATACATGTCTCTGCCCACCAAAAGTATGCCGTACACAGAGAGATAGAAGGAGAGCGAGACAGAATGAGGGAGACATACACACACAAATAGATAATACTGTTCAACGTGCCACGGACACTGGACAAAACAGTCAACTGGCCCCAGCCAAGAGAATGGACTCATTTCATCCCATTGATTTTTAGGTCGCAATTCACTCGGGTCGGGAGTTAGCAGCTCGCGGGCTTAGCCACAACCAACAAAAATAATTAACCGCAAATGCTGAAACAAAA